CAAGGTCAAGAGCTTCACGAATGCATAACGTAACTTTTCTTCTTGAATCTCTTAATCATTAAGCTAAGCTTTATGTCCTATGTCATATCACACATATACTTAGCTCCAGTAGTACCTAGACAACACCCAACACACACACACACACACACACACACACACAGAAACACATCAACTTAAGTTCTGTATAAAGAATCGAATCCATTTCATTGTCCTAAGTTTCTGTTAGTCAACAAGTGATAATTAGCCAGTAAGTAGCTCCAAAACCTAGCCCCATACACAGAATTCTGTAAAGAACTAAATGAAATCTGAGATAAGTTCTTGATGCTAGTCCGAGTCTTGACGTCTTTCTGTGTACCGGGTATCAGTGTGGTCGGGCAGGCCGACTGTTACGCTCTCATTTGTTAATCATGCTAGTGATAGTTTTAACGGCGAGCCCAACAAATCATTTGTGTACTTATATATATATATATTTATAGTTATATTGTAGCGTTTGATTTGATTTCGTTTACACACACACATTATTAGAGCTTAATTATAATTGCAATTATAATTATGGCAAGTGGAATTTGTAAGAAAAGAAATTGGATTTTCATTTATGTAATAGACGAAACAAAAATTGGCATAATCAGAAATAAACATTTTTACTACATATACTTATTTCGTACCTTAATTTAACTCTCTCACTTATACTATCTATCTAACTATCTATCAATATATACTATATATATCACCTAGATATCAACTTTCTCAACTGCACCTTCCATTTGTAATATATATATACTTTAGTGCCGCCTTTAGTTATATACTAACTTGCTATACTAACCAACTAACTATACAGGTCTTGCTTTGAAGCTTTAACAATTCATCTCCGTCCAAGCGTGGCGCATGTTCTTTATAAAGTATATACCACATATGTATATATATGAAGCGTAGCCAAATCGAAAATAAAACCGATCCCTTCCCGCCCCATACCCCGAAGGTAAGTTCCACGAAGCTCCGTTTTGCACTAAACTCTCAGAACGAAGCCGAGCCGAAGGACCAGGAGCACATGACATCCAATACAACTGAGATTTGGATGCTACCAATATATATATATACTATATATAACTCTTCCCTTGGCAAATTCGGATGTGGCAAACGTTTAGTTTTAGTTACTCATTTGATTTTTGTACAGTTGAGTTTGTTTCGATTATGTTTTATGGTATGTTGGTTTATTTGACTATATACATACATGCATACAAGTATATACATATTATACTAATATATATATGTATATATATGTATATAAATAACNATAACTTAACCAATTTCGGTTTGTGAATGTGGCAATATTCTATTATAACCAGTATTTTGATTGACAGTTAATGCGTTTCAATGCGAACTAAATTTATTTGCATCAATAACAGTAATACGATCGATCACACACACACACTCCCACACGCTCACACAGATTTGTAGTGCAAAATGCAAAAAGAAGAAGAACAACAAAAACAAACAAACAAAATATTATTTTAGTTTAGTACTTTTTGTAGTTAAAAAATCTCTCTCTATATACATATATATATTTCTCTCGCTCTCTATTTATCTCTCTTTATCTCATATTTCTCAACTCTAACTCTCTATTCTCTCAAAGCTCTCTCAATCTCTCTTTTCTTTAACAATCTTTTTACCAATCTATACTTCACGAAACATAGAACTCTTTTAGACACTTTCGTAGTTCACTATTAGCAAACAACACGGTAAATCAAATCAAAGCAAAGAAAATACTATCCACACACACTTTCCCCATGTGAGATATGCACTCGTTACTGGGATTTGCGATTGGGATTTGGATTATGATCGTAAGCCATGTTAGATACGTATGTAACTTAACCCAATTCTTTTTGCAGACCTCTAATATAGAAAAGTTCGATCCGCTTCCTCAAAGTTTCAAGTGCATATCCTAACTGATCTAAAATATAGCACAAAACACAGTTCAGTCTTAGCCAAAAGAAACCAAATCATAAAGATTAATTTTTTTTATACCAGGCGCGGTTCTAATTCAATCTATTTTTTCTTAATGAAAGCCCTATCGAAGGGTAGAAAAATAGTCCCGTTTTTTAACCATAAATTCCTCACAATACAAAAAGCACTAAATTAATATCAAAGACATTACCAATATAACAGTTAAAACAGTTTAAGAATATTGGTATTGGTTGTTGAATATTGTAACAGAAAATCAAAAACTCAAACAAAAACAAAAACAGAAACGATAACGAAAACGAACTTGAGAAAAACCAACATTTCCTTATATATATGTATAGTATATACTTTTCTTTTTTTTTTTTTTTTTAATTTCGAAAATTATGTTCATTCAGAAATCGCCTCTATTCAAATCCCGAGATGAGCCCCAACCTTGTGCGTCGCCTTCTTTTGAATCATAATTTCTTCTATGATTTCTTTCGTTTCTCGATATGGACACCGAGTCGCTACATACATGTGCACACACACACATGCATACATTCACACCTACATGCGCATACAAAATGAAATACCAAGTACCAAATTGTATTCTGTGCGTTGTCACAAGACTCACCAACCGAGAGCCTCTCCGAGAGCCATACACCAGACGCCATCCATTTACCGGCACGCATTCGCAATGCATATTGCATTACGTAGTTACCTAGCTGCGTATATACATATGTGCATGCATGTACTACTTACAGTTACGTCAAATGGCCTGTGCTCAGTTCGCCACATTTTGCTCAACATTTCATAGGCATAAGTCGCTTTCTGTCCCTCTCTAACAGGAGCTGCACAGGCGCACGCTGTGTGCGCAATTGATTTTATCGCTCTCTCGCGCAGCGCTATTGCCGTACTCGTACACTGCTCTTTTTCTCTCCCTCTATCTCTCTCTCGTTTTCCACTCTCAATCACGTTGGAGATGCGCTTCCATTACCTAAATACCATTACGATTACAGTTACCGTTACCATTACCGTTATACGCTATGGTGCTTTTTCACATACGCCACCACTGTCTGACTTAAAATTTTTTCATCATGTACGCCATCGCCAACCATGACAGTAGCCACAATGGCGCGACAGTTACTCCACAACCAAACGCCACACATTCAAACGTGCATATATATGTACGTGAGTGTGAGTTTATGTGTGTGCGTTTGCAGTATAATTGTGAGCAAACTGCGCGCGCACATTGCTGTGCAACTGCATACCGTCGGCTCGGCCCTGTGCCTGTGTGAGTTCGCGTGCGTACGTGTGTGCGTGCCCGCCTGCCTGCCTGGCTACAAAGCGCACDCTGTCACAGGGCCAGCCACCCTTATATGTATACTATGTGAACGTCCCTGCGGCGTAGTCAAAGCATCAGCAGCAACAGCAGCAACAACAGCAACAGCCACAGCAGCAGCTACAACAACAGATTGGGCAACGACAGTAACAGCAACTTCAGCAACAACAACAACAACATCGTCAACAACGGAGTGAAAAGAAACGAAGATGAGCTTGAAGGCTTTTAGTCGCTTTTACGAAGCTATTCGAACACCAAAAGGCAAAAGCTTTCTATTTGTTCAAGCTATACGCAATTAAATATTTAAGTCTAAATACGCTTTGATTTAGTTATTTTCTAATTTTGATTTTCTTTGCCTAAGCCTAAGCTTTTGCAAATTTTGAGACACTCTTTCTTAAGCTCTCTATACATAAGTGTTGAACATTATAAATGTAATACATACATATAATTAATTACAGAAGAAAAACAAAAAACAAAAGCATATTTATCAAAAAAGCTTTAGACCTATAATAATTATCCAGCCTATAGCTGCAATTAACTAGTTCTATAAGAGTTTGTCAAGGTATCAGTTAAATTTATTATATGATTACCTTATGAGTACCATAGTAATCCGATATCATAGTTATTTTTAATCTTTGAAGTTCAATTAATGTACCTAAAATATACATTTCAATAAAGCAATCACCCAAAGCAAATACCCAGACGAAGAAGAAGAAGAGCCGTCTTTCATATATAAATTCATATATTATTACATTATTTACAAATAAAAACGCATCAAATGTGAATTTATTGCATTTCTTACTATAATTCAATAAAAAAAAAAAAAAGAAAAAAAAACGAAATAAAACAACTTGTTTTCAATGTTCATTAAATTTAGATCCTATTTTTAGTTGAGAAACGAATCTGGAAACATTCTAAATGTAAGCAAGAAACTTCAACTGTTAATTACAGCGATCTTCGAGGATGAACTTGCTCACTATCGAGGGCTGCCACATATTAAACATTGTCCAGCTGCTTTACTTAGCTCAGTCAAAAGCTATGTGCTGTGTCACACGGAGACATTCTGAGATACTCATAACACACTGTTAATAAATTGTTATTGTTTAAAACAGCAGCGAACCATTTGGATGGCAGATAACAATATTAATGTTTATACATATTTTGAGCTGGCATATATTATAAGGAGGAAAGAAATAATTTCTAGTTTAGATTTCGTTTCGATTCAGTCAAAAATAAATTAATTCTATACACACAATAATAATAAGAGTAGATTCTCTTATTTTGAGCTTTGCGTTTTAAGGGAATATTGTTGCTGTATCTTAACATTATTATGTTGGCGGGTAAATGTTTTTAAAATATTTGAGCTATAGAGTAAATATTTGATATTTCGTTAAGTAAATATTACGACAGATACGATTGTAGCATTCCAATCGATAGTAATCATTTTTATATCGATACATTGTTAACGTTATGTTGATTACATCACTAAGCCGCTGGCACTCGTAGTCCACTGACGATACAAAAAATTAATAACAATTTTTTGGACAAATGCAGCGGATTATTTATGTTCCCATTGTATGCATTTCGTTTAGATTTAAATTCTGCAATTTTTAGAAAAAACCCCATTCAAATTCATCAAATGCAACACAAATTAAGCTACCCAAAATAATTTCCACAGCATTGCGACGAGCGATCGACTCCGAAAATGCTTTAGTATCAATTCGTGATGGCCACCCGCCATTAAGTAAAAACGTGTCCGCAGAAGAAAAACAATTTCAAACGTTTTTGTTGACGAAACTGTCAAAAATATTGCTGGTTTCGCTGCGGAAAACAAAAATACAGTGAAAGCATATGATTTCCACTCAATTGCGAAGTGATAAGGTCAAATAAAGTGCAAAAACTGTGCGTGAAAAATGTAAATCGATTTTCTTGTTTGTGAGAAAAAAAAAAACTTCGCTGCCTTTGCCTCTTTTGCGAGTGCAGCTCGCCAGAGGGCGGTATTGGTACATGCTTCGGAGTCGCAGGGTTCTATGCCGTGTTTTTAGTCGTCAACGCCGTTGTTCGCTCAATCGATAACTATTGTTTTTATGTAGCGCGGTTCAGCTAATAAGTTATTTATTATAACACAATGCTAAGACAATATTTTCGCATGAGTTTCTTGCCTATTTTTAATACGCCATAAGAAATATATGTTATCGTTGCGCCCTAGTCGCTTTTATGCAACGCCGACGTCACAAGCAATTAATTCGCGGCCTGGGAATGCCACTCGCCGTCGTTAGTCTTCGGCTCTGGCCGCCATTACTGCTTCCAGCAAAACCACGCTATACGCAAAATTCGTGAAATTTGTGTAAATTTTTTAACGAATTATCAACAAAATTGTGCGTGCAGATGTGTGAAAAGCGTGGTAAAGTGTGTTAAAAATTAGTTGAAACTGCATACAAAATATCGCTGCTGAAAAATATAAATGATTTGGCTAATAATTGCAAAAAACAAAACCCACATGAAGAGCGCTACGTTTTTTCGTCGTATTTTGCGGATAGGCTTCGTGTTTTTTCATCGTGCAATTCGCCGCGTTTGTTTGGGCGAACTCGCCGCGTGTGTGTTTGTTTATGCCGCCTTTTTTACGCTCGCATCGGCGGTGCGGTGCGGCTTTTCTGCTTCTATCTTCTCGCGTTCCCTATGATTTTGCATTTTTTTGTTTCGAGTGTTTTAAGCCCAACTACAACTCATTTTATTATTCATTTCACACTCACACTGAAAAATGAATTGAAATGATTCATCAATTTTGTCGCCAGCAAATTAACGATCTCATTTCTCCGATAGCGTCAGACAATAACAAAATAATATGTTCATGCATGTGTGTGTGTATGTTTTGCGTGGGACTTCTTTTGTATGGGATAAWTGTGCATGTGTGTGTCTGTGTGTTGTGCATTTGCAAATGAAAAACACAGCCCAAAAAATTTTCCCGCGCGCGCGTTTATATGTGTGTGTGTATCATTATCTGTTTTGTTTGACTGTATGTCTGATATGAGTGTGTGAGTATGTATGTGTTTGAGCGTACGTGTGTGTTTCTGTGTTTATGTGTGTGTGTGTGTGTGTGTGAGTGGTTTGTTTACTTATTCGTTTTGTTGTTTGTTGCTTTGCAGATTTGATAAAGCAACACCAAGGAGAGCAACAAAAGAACAGAAACTAAAGAAACACAACTGAAAGTCAATAATAATAGGAAGACAAGAAACAAAATAAATTTATTAAGAATAAAGATGAACTGAAATGTGCAAATTTGATCAACGTAATTATGCCAATTCACATAATTTTTTCGATTTCAACGTGAAAAATGTCGTCGACACAATTGCTGCACTCGTTATTGTTGTTGCTACCACTGCGTTGTCGTCGTAATTGCAATAAACTAATCTCTTTGGCCCTGTTGGTCCTCTCAGCGCTGTTTGCATACCACGAGCAACGACAGCAGCAGCAACAGACGGCAGCAGAGGCAGAGGCGGCGGACGACGACGGCAGAAGCAGCAACAGCAGCAGCAGCTGCAGCTGCAGCAGCGGCGGAGGAAGCGGCCCAGCAGTAGCAACAMATACTACACAAACAACAACAACAGCAGCAACAGCTAGAAGTTATCCAACAGTTACGTTGGACACGCCTTTGTACACAGCAGTCGCAACTGGCGCGGCCGTGATCGAACGGCGTACGAACAAAAAAGCCGCCAACAGCAACCGGAGCCGGGACGTGGGTACGGGCACAGGCACGGGCACGGAAACGGAAGCGGGCACAGGGGCTGCGTATATTAGCTGGCAGAGCAGCCATTGCCACCGCAGCCCCGGTGCTCAGTCGGAGGCGCAGGCAGAGCAGTCGGTGCTGCGTTTACCAACCACAACAACAACAAATAAGACTCGCTCGGCGTTAACGTTGACGTCGATACATAAGCTTAAGAGCAGCATATCTCCTCCATCCATAGACGCTTCATTTGCGAGGCTAACAACAGTAGCTGCTGCTGCAACAACTAGAACAACGAATCTGTTGAAAGGCTCGTGCATAGGAGCAGCAGCACAAGCACCAATACAATCACAAGGAGCAACAAATCGCTGCTGTAGAAATCGGAATCAGCCGTTGCCAGTGGTCGTTGCGGGATCAGCCATTGGCAGTTGCCACAACCAGGCATCGATAGCAACTTAAGAGCCAACGCCACCGCCACCATCACCCCTCACCCACAACTGCAGTAATCAGCAATAAAATAATCAGACAACAAACAATTCCACAATCAGTTAATAGCAGCAAAACAACAACGTTCCATACTACACAAAACATCCAAAAATACAAAGAAAGGAGAAGAAGAAGAAGGAGACGAAGTAACAGCCACAAAATGTCGAAACTATCATTTAGAGCACGCCACCTGGATCCGTCCAAGCAGATGCCCATCTACTTGGCGGAGGAGCTGCCCGATTTGCCCGAGTATTCGGCCATTAATCGCGCCGTGCCACAGATGCCAAGTGGCATGGAGAAAGAGGAAGAGTCGGTGAGTTATTGATGTCGGTGATTTGAGATTGGCATAGAACTGATGTCCATTGCAACCCTTGGCTAATGCTAATGCATATTCATCCATTTTGCAGGAACATCATTTGCAGCGAGCCATTTGCACTGGCCTCATCATACCCACGCCAGAGGTGCTGCAAACGGATCAGCAGTTCTACGATGCCTACTATCCGCCAGACTACAAAATGCCCCGCCAAATGATTCACATGCAGCGTAAGCTCTCGAGTCCTAATCTTGTTTTCCCTTGATAATCAATTGAAAACGTCAACTTGTAGCCCTGGGCCTGGACACTGAGGTGCCGGACTATGACCTGGATAGCGCGGATGAGGAATGGCTGAGCCAACAGCAACGCTTGCAGCTGACCGAGCTGAAGTTCGAACAAATGATGGATCGGCTRGAGAAGAGCTCCGGCCAAACTGTCGTCACACTCAATGAGGCGAAAACGTTGCTCAATCAGGACGACGAGACTAGCATATCAGTGTACGACTACTGGCTGAACAAGCGCCTCAATATGGTAAACAAACAAATAATCAGCATCGTTTATTTAGAATCTCAAATTTAATATGCTTGCGTCGTTTTGCCTTTGCAGCAACATCCGCTGATACTCACCGTCAAGACGGAGAGCCGACCGGGGGCGAGTTCCAATAATCCCTATCTGGCGTTTCGACGACGCACTGAGAAGATGCAAACACGAAAGAATCGCAAAAACGACGAAGCCTCCTACGAGAAGATGCTTAAGTTGCGGTAATTGGACTCCTTGAGTCTTCCTCTTTGATCTATTTCTAAGCTATTCTCCTTTTTCATTGTGTTTCAGACGCGACCTGCAACGCGCCACAACTATATTGGAAATGGTGCGACGTCGCGAGGAGACAAAGCGAGATCATCTGAAGATGACGGTCAATATCTTTGAGAAACGTGTCGAGATGCGCGACTTTAACGGTGCAGTCTACTCGGAGCTGAATGCCCAATATAAGAACTCGAGGTGCGAATCAGTTCTATGGAACATTACGATATATATATATATATTGCTATTAATGATTATAGCCAGAATGCATTAAAAATAGGAAATCAGCGTGAAATAATTTAGTTGAAATGTCCGTGACAGGCAGAAGTAGGTGTGGCAGGCGTCATAAGAAATATATATATTTTTGATCAACACGACGAACTGAGTCGATATAGCCATATGTCCGTCTGTATACTCGTGTATAGCATAGTAAAAATTTACCTTTCGTTTTTTAACTCCTACAAATCGGTCATTTCATTAAGTGTTTTCTCCATACCTTGGACACCGTAAGCGCTAGAGTAGAAGTAGAGAATGATTAGACTAGTCGGGCAGCCTCGACTGGAGCACTTTTACTTGTCATTATGATCATCAGAAGTTGCTTTGAAGCTGACTTTAATAATGCCACTGGGCAGTTGTAGATGTTAGTAATACTTGAATAATATTTTAACGCTTGCTTTCAGACCCGTATACAATTCATTGTATACGAATCAATACTCACAAGGCGCACCGGCGGCTGGCACAACAGCGAGTGGTGCTCTGCTAGCTGGTGGTGTGCTGTCTCCTGGCATATTGGCAACGGGAGCAAACAGCAACTCGGCCGTCTATGGGCAGGCATCGCAGTACCTGAACACATCGAGTCTGACTATGGGTAAAATATAAAATTTATAAACATTTCGAGTCTGTTCATAATATGTTTATACATTTGCAGAGGGCATCGGCGCTGGCAGTGGCAACGGTAGCAGCAGTCGAAAGGAGAAACGGCCGTATAAGAAGCGCAAACACAAACTTCCGCGCGACAAGCAGCAGCAACAACACCAGCAGCAACAACAACAACAGCAGCAGCAACAACAGTATTTGCCGGGCATGAGCCTGGCGTCTTCAGCGTCGGGCATTTCACCTGCGCATCTGCATCGGCTTAATCGCCAGAGCTCATCGCCGGCAGGCAACGACTCAATTGCGGACAGCGATGAGGACGACTATCTTGCTGTCGGCGCACAGAACGGCAACAAGCTGGGCTCCGAGAGCGAGGAGGAGGCGCCGTTTGCATTTAGACGCAGGCCCAGGTGTAATTACCTGCGGGTAAGTTGACTTAAACCAAGATGGGGCTAAAGGTCAATCCATTTCTAGGATTCAATGGCACGTGCTCAAGATCAGCTTTTGCTTAATCTGTCATAAATCTATCCATAAGAGAGTGCTAAGATTTAATATAAAATGGGAATATTTTTAACCTAGAGTTCTATTCGAATGAATATAGTTTGCAAGAATGCTAGTTGTTGGGGAACATATCTGACATGTTAAACTTGATCTAGTTTTAGAAGTTGATAACGCCATCTATCTTTGTCTATTTCTCAAAGCTCAAATCTTTGCAATAAGTTATTTATAAATTTCAATGAAGGGAATCCAAAATTTGCGTGTTTATAACAGAGAGTACATTTTAGCTTTATGCTCCCATACATATTCAATCCATATATTTTACTGGCTCGCCTCCTGCTTCTTCTGGTATATCCAGGGTATTGTAAGCAGTTACGGATAAATTTCTTATAGATAAAAGATAATTCACATTGATTGCATATAAAAATGAATATGAATATTTAATGAATTCCTGGTTACTTTCAGCGCCTATATGAAGTAAAAGTAACAAGATCAACTTTTTTTTAGAGATAATGTAGTTTTTTTTTTCTTTCTCTCCCGTTCCCTATTTAACTTCTATTTCAAAAGTAAATATTATTTTTTGACAGTTCACAAATTGAAGCAACATGAAGCTTAAATTCACTTAGATTGATTCCTTAATTGAAAACGATTTAAGGTTTAACATAACCATTAAACGATTTGCAATACAGTAAAATCCCGATAAATCGAAATGGCAAGGGTATTGTTTTCTTTTTATTTACACAGAAATTCTAATTATCGTCAATTAAACAGAATGAATTTCTTTCAAGGGGATAGAATTTTTTCGATTTATTGCGATTTTCGATTTAGCGGGTTACAAATTATCAAAATTCGACTGTATTGCATCTTTCGTAACAGCTAGGAACTGTTATATACTCGTATATAACAGATTTAATTTACGTKTATGTGTCATGCATGAAAATAATTCTTAATTCCTTTCTCTTTTGCCTTTTCAACAGACGCGTGCCGTTGACGAAGGTCGCTGGCCCTGGGAAGCGCCCGCTGACGAGGATGCGCCGCCCGGTGCGGCCGGTGGTGTTGACGCTAAATATCGTTATACGCTAACATCGATCAACTATGACAGGTGCGATGGTTTAGTGAATTATATTACTTTGATAATCAATGGTTCATTGTTTTTTGCAGACCACGTTGCATAGGCTTTGCGCGCCGGCGTCTGGGTCGCGGCGGACGTGTGCTGCTTGACCGGGCCAGCACTTGTTACGACGACCTGTGGTCCCAGTTCGACTATACGGTGCTGGACAGTGTTGTGAAGAGCGGCAAGCCCTCGAAGTACGATCATAAACAGCAACTGTCCAAGCCCAGCTCCCCGCCAACCGTAGTTGATCTGCCCACCAGCAAGGCGGATACGGTAACTGGGGATGGCAGCGCAACTCCCGAGGCGGTCCTTAAGGTCGAGCCGGCCAGTGAACAGGTGCTGCCCAAGGAGGAGCGGCAGGAGGATGAGGAGGACAAAGATGATGAAGAAGAGGATGACCTGAGCACAGAGGATGAGAATGTGTCGCGTCTGAACATCTACAGCTCAGCGGTGACGTTGCAACAAAGTCCCTTCGATAAGCGCATGAAACGTCGTCGAATGCATCGCAAGAAGCAACAATTGCGGGAGCAGAATGCCGCGAAGCGTCTGAAGAGCGCTGTGGTGGATAGCGAGGACGGCGTGGCTATGGACGAGGATGCGCCGCGTCTGCTTCCTCTGCCTAGGTCATATTTGCAACGCTTGGCACAGGCACTGCATTCGACGACGACGGCTGCTACGGCGGCAGCGGCAGCGGTAGCGGCAGAGGCAACTGCAGCTGCAGCTGCAACGAAAGCGCAGACGGAAGTGTTAACGGATGCAAATGGGATGAGTTTGGRAAAGCAGCCGCAGCAAGAGCTGGAGGTGAAGCAGGAAGCATGCGATGAGCTGATAGAGCAGTCACGCCATGCGAATCATCAGCACCACCGTTCCAATAATAATAATAATAATAACAACAACAATACCGTGTTTAATAATAACAACAACAACAACAATAGTAGTAGTAGTAGTAATATGAATAAGAATGTTAGCATTAGCGAAAAATTCAATGTGATAAAAGTGGAGGATGAGGATGCGGAYGGAGACGATGGGACAACTCGGATTGAGCAGCCAGTGGCCTCCACCTCAGCAGCGGCAGCAGCAGCACGCGCTGCCGAGGCGGCAGCTGCAGCAACAACAACAAATGCAATCGGATCTGCGAATTCAGCGAGCGAGGTCGAGGTCGAGGATGTGGCCAGGACGATAAAGCGCGAACTGATCGATGCCGATGACTCGAATGAGCCGTTGAGCAGCATACGTACAGCAGCTTCAATGCAGAGCAAGCAGCAGCCTCAGGACTTGATGGACGACGATGAGGCCGAGGACGATGTTAACCTGGCACAGCTCAGCAGCATTATAAAGCACACAGCCGTCAAGAAGGAGCTGCAGGCGCAACAGCAACAGCAGCAGAAGAGGCAAAGGCAGGAGGAGAAACAACAGCTGGAGAGCCAAACACGATGCTTCAATCAGATGCCCGATGTCATTCGTCTGCACAATAAGCAACTGCACATTGATGCTGGGGATTTGGATGCGACGGCATCCCTGCCAACGGAGGACGACTGCGAAGCCTATGACTATATGGGCGGACTGTCGCCAACATCTAGCCAACGCCTGGACATCTGCAATGAGCTGCTGTCGGAGATCAGACGCGACTGGCTGCACTTTCGGCCAAAGACGCCCACGGACGAGTTGTCGGACAGCAATCACGAGGACGAGGTCAATGGCAAGCTCTGCGATGCTGCGGTAGTCGACTGGACACAGGACACGCCCATTAGCATCGAGCTGAGCCTGTTGGGCAAATGCAGTGACGACGACGATCCCGCCAGCGAAGCCCACTTCATGAGCACCGCCTTCAAGTACACGGATCTCGACCCGGATGCTCAGCTGCTGCAAACCGCCTACGCGCTGGACTATGCGCGCGACAGCAATCGAAGTCCTGATCACACAAACGGCGACTGCTCCGACACTGGTTCGGGCTTGGGCTCGGGTTCAGGTGAAGGCTCTGCGCTGGAGTTCAATCTCAGCGGCGGCGATTCGCTCAACGACATTAATCTCTTGGGTGACGATCTGGTCAACAATATTCTGCACGAGTGCAGCATGGATGATCCCAAGAATCAGGCCGCCAACTTCTGGAACATCCTTGATGGCGAGGCGGTTGTCGATGATGTCGATGATGACTGCAAGACAACCACCGCCTCCGAACTGAAGCGTACGGCACGCCATCGTGCGCACCATCGCGGCCCATCCGCTCCCCTCGGTAGCTCCAGCTTCAGAACAGCCGATGTGCCGTCCTCCTTCTTTTGTCAAGCACCACCCGTCAAGGAGGAGCCGCCGCCGTCGTCGGAGGCATTGCCAGAAGCCGCACCACCAGAGCACACGCAACCCATCAAGGTGGAACCGGCGGAGGGCATAAGCACACCCTCGATCGTATTGCCACATTCAGCAGAAATCAGCCTATCGACATCCTCGCCCGCCAACGCAATGCCGGTTGGAGCATCAGCTCCTGCTGTGCCAGTGCCAGCACCACAGCTGGTGCCAGCCACACCAACTGCAGCGCCGCTGATTGCAACCAGCACAGCCGCCACCCATCTGCTCAACATACCCGCCCAAATCACAACGCAGCAGCAACAGCATCAACAACAACAGCAACAGCAACAGTTGCCGCAGCAATCGAAGCCTGCCCAGGTGGCTGTGACACAGCAGCTGCTCAATCAGTTTGCCGCCAGCGCGACGCCAGCTGCCACCCAGCTGATTGCGAGGACAGAGTTTGTGAGCAGTGGMACGGCCGTTGGGGATATTGTGACCATAACGCCGCATACGGGCAGCAGTCCGCTGCCGGCGTTGACACCGCAGCAGCAGCAGCTGCAGCATCAGCTGGCGCAGGCGCAGCTGCGCAATGTCACGGTGCAGCAGAGACAGGCGACACCCCAGCACCAACAGCAGCAACAGCAGCAAGTGCAGCAGGTGCAGCAGCAACAACAACAACAGCCGCAACAGTTTCTGCTGCAGATGCAGCGTGATATTGGTGGCTCAGCAGCTGTGATCTCCTCGCAGAGCATTGTGACGTCACGCAGCGGCAACCACATGATCTATACGACAAACAGCGGCGAGATCATGACCGCGGCAGGCCAGGTGGGCGCCCAGAAGGTGACATATGCCATACAGAAGAGCGCCGGTGGCAGCAGCGCCTCCATTGGGCCCAACACGGTCATCACGCTGTCCAACGTCAAGCTGCAGAACGACGACAACTCGGCATCCGCCTCGCAGCCATCGAGTGTCAACATCATCAACACCGCCAGCGGGCAACA